CCCCAGATCAGACCATAGGGGAGAACTGGGAGAGTCCCCCCAGCGACCACACACACAGCCCCCGGGGCCAGCGGTGACAATCTCATGAAATCATAGAAATCAAATCATAAAATTTCAATAACTTCAGCTGATGGAACAATGAATGTGATGGGTGATAGTAATGCTTTCTGGTGATAATTCTTACAGCGATTTTCTGTAAAACAAAAATAGGATTTGTAATTGTTTTGCATGATTTTCCCCCAACATCAATATATTAGATCAAGTGTGGAACAATTATTGCATTATATAATATAAACAGACATTTATCATTAAATAAATCATTTACTTTGTATAATACTGCAATGGACTTGGCTATTTTTGTTCTTTATATGAGGTCTCCAGGCCAGCTTTTCATCTATGATAAAACCCAAAAACTTCACCTCACTGACTCTGCAAATCTCAACACCCTCGACTCTAAATGGAACATTGACAGTTTTCTTTCTATTACTAAATATCATATAATTAGGCTTATCTAAATTTAATGATAATTTACATTTCAAGTGTTAAAATATAGTGTTAAAAGTAACACCAGTATATTGTTATTAACAAAGGAAATTGTAGTGTTAGGTTAACAGACAACACAAGGTGTCGATACACCATAAACCTGAGAGTGTAAATTTAACACAGAGTTAAATTCAAACTTGTTGAAGTGTTGCACTTACACTACTCAGTAATTAGTAGAAAAGCATAATGGAGTCACCTCTCACTCATGGTGTCGATTTTTGGCCAATAACATAAACTCAGTGGTGGACAAAGTACTCAATTCTAGTATTTGAGTAAAAGTACTGATACTCATGGTCAAATCTTACTCAACTACAAGTAAAAGTTGCTCGGGCAAAAATTTACTCAAGTTAAAGTACTGAAATGCTTACTTTTGAAAATACTTAGGTATTCAAAAATACATGCATTTAAAAATACTCAAGTATTCAAAAGTACAAATTAAATTTTCTAATATCAATACATAGCTGTATTGTTTTCAGAGTGATTTTACAGAACCTTGTAACTCTCAGAAACCACCTGTGGTACTAACAGGTAGAACCTCTTTGCTACAGATTCTACACACCTGTAAAGGCTTCAGCATAAAAACGCAATACAGTGAGTGATGAGTTCTTAAATGCAGAAATGTAGTTTAGACATTTAAACTGATACAAACTATTTTTCAGTCCTAAAATCTCAAACATGGAGCTGAGATATGGACATGCTGTTTCTCTACTTGAGTTTCTTCAACCGTCTCCATTGCTGGGTTCTGTTTGAAATGAAGCTCAGCTCGCCACCGTTTTACGCCAACGATGACGTAATTCCAAATCTATTTTAGATGTGAGCTATGACTGTGATTGGTTTCCCTTGTGAGGAACATAACGTGTGGCCAAATGCATTTCAAGAAAGGAAAACAGCAAAGGATCACAAAGCTATGCCGAGCCAAAAGTAACAAGTAACTAACAAGCTTCTAAGAAATGTAGTGGAGTCAAAAGTACAATATTTGTCTTTGAAATGTAGTGGAGTGAAAGTCGTAAGTTCCCCAAAAAAATGATTACTCAAGTAAAGTAGTTACTCAAAAAATGTACTTAAGCACAATATTCAAGTAAATGTACTCCATTACTGTCCACCACTGCATAAACTTAAACAACTTGTTCAAACTAAACCAGACAACTAATTTTTACTCTCATGCACCTTTTCAATAGTCAGAAACATGCAAGCACAATGGGCCTCATGCAAGAACCGTTCGTACGCACAGATTTGTTCTTAAGTTGTGCGTACGAGTGATTTAGGAGAATTTGTGGCATTCACCAATGTTTTCGTATTCTAAGATTTTTTTCAGATACGAACAAAATTCACGAGTGGTCCAGACCTGTCGTATATTTTACGAGCAGTCAGTCTGCTGTTATTCAGATGGGTTTTCTTCATTAATAACCTTATATTTGGTTAGTTTGAAGATATTTTGAGTTGAAAATAAAAAAAACACTGTTAAGTGTTGTATAAGACTTAATAGTGGGTGGAGCTTATTTAACATTGTCCAGTGTTGATACAACATTGAGGAAAGCAACAGTGATTTAACACCAACAATGGGTGTCAATTTACTCAGAAAGTGTTAAAATAACACTGGGGGTTGTTAAATCAACACCCAAAAGTTTAACGCTGAAATTTTAACACTCCTGTTTTTGCTGTGTGAACTGTTTAATTTGCATTTGTTTAAATTGTGTTTAAACAAAGTGTAATTTAAAGAAATGTAAAGATTTTGGTGCGAAAACTGTAAAAGTGACAGCACTGAACATAATCTACATTATTATTGGATTTATGACTTAATGAGTGCATTATATTAATACTTTTTGGTAAAGCTTCAAAAGAATGACAACCCCAAATTACACTCAGCATTTTTTCTTAATTAATAAGCTTTAAACTACAGTAGAGTAGCCTTGTCATAAAAACTGTTTATTACTGGAGCCATCACTGGTATAAATTACAATTTGTGGATTAGAAGTCATATTGCAGACATGTTAAATATCTTGTGTCAGTTACTCTGACCTGACATTTTTACAGCTTTCGGTGCAGTACATACTGCCCATCTTTTGATCAAAAGGAAGAGAATTATACAGACCTGCAAATAAAAAACTGCACAGTCAGGGTTTTGTTCTACAGAGGGAACAAGATACAAGTGACACAGAATGTTCAGAAATAAATAAAAAAACAGCTAACTTAAGGTAATTATCCTCAAAGTGTACTGAAGGAAATGTACAATTAGGCTGTGGTGAACAAGATATATTCCTTTAAGCTTTCTACTCTTTATGCTTTGTTTTATTTTTTAACTGAAAGGAATGTAATAATAAGCATGTTTTAAGTACACTGATTACTTTTAGCAGCAATAACTTCAAGCTTAGATAAAGATGAAATGTTTTAGCAATTTCATTGTTCTCTTTTTTATAGCTATCAACTGATGTATGTGAATTTAAACAAATCTAACAAATTTAAAGACAGTGACGACTGCGTAACAAATATAAAATGTAAAAAAAAAATGAAAGAAGTGACATACATGTATTAATTAAAGCAAAAACAGAGTTTGAGCATGCTTATGCTCAAATTCCAAGTAAAACGGTCTGCAAAAAGGCCATGGTGGGGATGGAGAGCTGTGCAATGGCATGTTTAAAAAGGCATAACTAAAAAAAAGATATTATTAAAAATAAAAAATAAAGAATGACTGATTTATATTAAAAAACTAAATGTTGTCAGATGGAGACTGACAGAAAAAAAACCCTGCAACTCTCAAAAATGTTGCCAGAAATAATGTCTGTTTTTGGATTAAATGAACTGTGGAATGAAACAGGCAGATTTATAAGAAATACCACAAATTTTCAGCAGCACACAAACTTTACATTATGGAGATATGTTATGAACATTACAGTATTTATTTTAGACAATTAGGAAATTTGAAAACAAAACAAAAATTCTTAAGCTAAAAACACAAATGGAAAAAACTTCCTTTTTGGAGCCTTTAAGGCAGCTGTACAGACAGTCTTGGATAAAATTATTTCCTGACTCACTCAGTGAACATTGTCCTGTTTGATTCACAATCTCAACCAAAGGTTTTTCCTAGAAAATTTTCAGTGATGTTTGCATTTCTGGGAAAGCAGAACTGAACAAACTGCCCATTCATCATTTTTTCCCCTCGCTGTTTGATTTACAGACGTTTTTCTGTTGCCTTTGTCTTCTTGTCTCTCAGTACAAATAAAAGAACCATGGCCATACATTTTCTCTTACATTTTTCCAGCCAAGATACTGTTCATGGGCTTATCTTTTCAGTGGAAAGTATATTACTAAACTATTTCCTGAACGGTGATCAGGATTTTAAGCTTAAACTGAAATAATAAAACAGGCAAATTATCTGAAAAGCTCTATGGAGATTGATTGCTGTGGTTTAATAACTAAAATCATTTGATTTACTGATAGATAAAACTATTCCTGTAATTCAAAGTAAAAAAAAACCTAAATATTGAAGGCTGAATTAATAACTTTGGGTTTTTTCTCCTTTTTCTCCTCAGATGATCTAGTAAAGTCTATTTTCTTTGCTATGTTAACAGCTCCACTATTAACCAAAAGGAGTAGAGCCCTGCCAACCTTGACAAACAGGGACTAAAACTCCTCAGCGTGTGTAACCCTGTGTATCCGACATGGGAAAAGTCTACTATGTCAGTAAAAACATTGGCCTTGGATTGCTGGTCCTGGTTATCAGCGCACTGGTTACAATAATAGCTCTATCCATTGCCTATGACAAGGAAAGGGCCAAGAATCAAGGTCAGCCTGGACACAGAGCGTCAGATGGCAGCAGCACATCTCCCCCCTTCACAACCCCCTTCACACCCAAAGAACCTTGGGATTATTACAGACTTCCAAAGTCACTCATCCCGGAATCTTACCAAGTGACCCTGTGGCCCCAGCTGCAGCCCAACGCAGACGGGATGTACGTCTTCACTGGATATTCATCTGTGATCTTCAGATGTGTGAAGGAAACCGACCTGATCATTATCCACAGCAAGAAGCTGAACTTCACCACCGTCCTCGGGAACCACATTATACTGATGGGCCTGGGCGGAGTCACTCCGCCTGCCATACGCAGGACGTGGCTCGTGGAGAGGACGGAGTATCTGGTCGTTCAGCTGCGCTGGAAACTCACCGTGGGAGCATCCTACAAGCTTCACTCTAAGTTTACAGGGGAGCTGGCAGATGACCTGCAGGGGTTCTACAGGAGTGAATACACGGACAATGGAGTAAAGAAGTAAGACACAATCGAGTAACATGGTTGATTTTTAACTGCGATTGCTAATTTGCGCAGTCTCATTTGTTTTCTTGAACCGGGATGTGGTTTTGTTTACGTTCAACTGGACCATTTTTCAGAGTTCTTGCTACCTCTCAGATGCAAGCGACGTTTGCCAGGAAAGCCTTTCCTTGCTTTGATGAACCGGCCATGAAAGCCACCTTCAATGTCACCCTCATCCACGACCGAGGCACGGTGGCTCTGTCCAACAGCAAGGAAAAAGGTTCATTTTGGATCATCAACTTTTTTGACGTTAATACAATCAGCTCACCAATGTTTTCTGTCTTTATACAGATTATTCAGACACTGTCAAGGATGGCGTTCCTGTCAGAGTGACAACATTTGAGCCCACTAAGACCATGTCCACATATCTGTTGGCATTTCTCGTCAGTGAATTCATTTCCATTCAGTCAAGCCAAAATCATTTACTGGTGAGGAACTTTGTCTTTGCATTTCATCTTTGTTCACGTTATCAGTGGAACTGTCATGTATATCGACTTCGCAAGTAAAATTTTTGTTTCACAGATTCGAATTTGGGCTCAAAGAAAGGCCATAGCTGACGGGCAGGGTGAATACGCTCTTAATGTGACGGGGCCAATCCTTCAGTTCTATGGGAAATACTACAATGTATCTTACCCGCTCTCAAAGTCAGGTTGGTAAAAAGTTTAGAAATCTTTTTGCCGTAGTCAGTTCTGTGAAACAAACCATTCATGTGGAAATATGGTCGATCTCTTGGTGCACTAGTTGAGCAAACATTCTTACAAGTCACACATTTTTTGCCAACTATTCGTGCTTTTGTCTGTTAGAGCAGAAGACATACTGGTCATCATCAAAGAGCTAAACTAGCCGCCCAAAAATCTCAACTTGTTGAATTTTTTAAAGTACCAACGGAAAATAAGACTAAACTACTGTCTGTAAACCTTGCCTGCTCAGTCAGAAGTAGTGAAAATATCTATTCTAATATTTGGAGGTAAGCAAGGGGTTGAGGAAAATACCCCTGTTTACCACTAGTTTATAAGGTTAGTTTGCTGACTTGTTTTAACATGATGCCGTATCTCCTCAGTTCACGGTGAAGCAAACCCTGCTTGGTTTTGGAGGTGAAAGACTTTTTGGTTGTTTGAATCTTTTACCTTTGTTCCTTGTAGATCAGGTTGCGCTGCCTGATTTTAATTCTGGAGCGATGGAGAACTGGGGTCTGGTGATGTACAGGGAGACAGGCCTGCTGTATGACCCCACGCTGTCCTCCACTGGAAACAAAGAAAGGATTGTAACAATAATCTCCCATGAACTTGCACACATGGTATGTCATTATCTATAAATGTCCCAGTAAAGGTTCATTCACTTTCTTTGATTCAGCATAATTGATATTATTTTTTTTATTTTTTATTAACTTTATTCATTTCATTAAAAAAACAAAACACATTTACATACAACAAAACTTGTACAAAAATTATTGAGCTAACCTCAGCTAATGAAGGCCAAAAGGAACGTTTGACATGTCACAGAGGCAAGTCACTTGTCTCTTTCTTGATATGTGTTTTTTACTAGTGGTTTGGAAACCTGGTGACTTTGCAATGGTGGAATGATTTATGGCTGAACGAGGGTTTCGCCTCATATGTGGAGTACCTCGGAGCTGACTACGCTGAGCCCACCTGGAACATGGTACGATCAGTACTTTCTTCCTCACTGAGACTTTTGACGTGTATTTTTTAAAGAAGATCCCCAAAGGTTGTCTGGTACTTTTGGCTGAGGAGGCCTGTTCTGATTCTCCTCTCTGTTTGAATACAGAAAGACTACATCCTTTTATATGACATGCAGAGGGCATTTGCTGTGGACGCACTGGCCTCCTCTCACCCTCTGTCCCGCAAAGAAGAGGAAGTCAATGAGCCTTCGGAGATCAACGAGATGTTCAACACAATTTCCTACAGCAAGGTCAGTTTCCCACAGTGGTACTTTACACACAATCTACTGAACCCTTTCTGAATATTTATCAAGTATTGATTAATCTAGAACAGTGTTCCTCACTATTTTTTCACAAGAGCCACATTGGCAGATAAATGTCAAGTTGAGAGCCGCAATATGCCAAGAAACAAACACGTACAAATAAATACAAATACACCTACAAACAAAAACTACACAGCTAACACAGGATCTGTTTAAAGAGCTCTTACCTTAGTATTGAGATGACCGGAAGCTGTGGTGCATATCTTTGACGTTCTTCATGTTGTATTTGTAATTGGTTGTTACAATCACAGTGAGGCATTCAAGATGGGCATGTGTCATCCGGTTTCTTTGTTTTTTCTTGATAAGTGTTCATAGTTCAAAATGTTGACTCACAGGTGTATGTGCTCATAAAGAAAGACATCACTTTCTGAACAAACGGTTTCAAAATGGGAAAGTCTCCTTCAGAAACTAAATTCCAGAAGTGATCAACACCATCTCGGAGTTCAACTTGGAGGATGTCGTTTGTCTGCAGCTCAGTTATTTCAGTTTCAAGCTTGGCACGACTATCAGGGCAGAGTTGTGTGATGGTGGGTGTAAGCAAGGATACATCCACTTGAAAAGGGTTTTCAATAAAATTAAAAATGCCCTAATGTTCATTCACATCACAGAATCTGGAGTCAAACTCATCCTTCAGCTGCTCCAAAACTTGAACTAACTCCCTGTGCCTGAAGTGCTGTTCAAGAACTGGATCACTTGTGGTTGTTGCTTTGAGTTTTGGGAAGTGGATGAGTTCTCTATCAGGTATCCASAGGGTAGTTATTTTGTTTTGGAATGCTCTGACTGCATTCAGCATGTTGTTTGGAAGCTTGTTTCTCCCTTGAAGTTGCAAGTTGAGTGTTCAGGTGACAGGTAATGTCTGTCAGAATGGCCAGCTGTACGATCCATTGTGGGTCTTTTAACTCTGGATGGTTTTTCCCCTTGCTGTCTAAGAAAGTGCAAATTTCAGGAAGGAGGCTCAGAAATCGCTCCAACACTTTTCCACGGGACAGCCATCTTACTTCACTATGCATCACAAGATCGCTGCACTCTGTGTCGTAGTCTTCAATTAACTGTCTGAACTGTCTGTGGTTTAGTGCTCTGGAAACAATATTAATATACCACCTGCACAACAATTTGCATCACATTCTGGAAGTTGTTTTTTTCGGATCTTTGCTACAAGGGACTCTTGTTGTATGATGCAATGGAAGCTGATGAAAGGAGGAATGTCATCTCTTTTTCTCAGGAGGCCAACAAGACCCTTCTCCTTGCCTCGCATGCTTGGGGCACCATCAGTACATACACTAGCAAGTTTGGACCAAAAGAGATGTTTTTCCTCAAAAAAATATCAAAAGTGCATTCAGAACATCTTCACCTCTTGCTTGGCCATGGAGTGGTATTAAGCACAACATTTCTTCTTGAAAAGAGTCATCTTTTGGGAGCCTCACCCAAACACACAGCTGAGCAACATCTGTAACATCTGTGCTTTCATCCACTGCTATGCTGAAACATGGAGCTCCATGCAGATCAGTCAGTAGCTGGTCTCTGATGTCTTTTCCAATGTCTTCCATTTGTCTCATTATTGTTGAATCAGACAACTGTAATCCCTTTATTTGTTTCAGAATTGCATCCTTGTTGTCAAAGTTTCTGAACAATATTTCTGCTGAAGCCAAAAAGCAATCTTTCACTATTTCTGAATCTGAGAAAGGCTTTTTTGCCCGCACCAAAATCCAAGCAATCTCAAAGGATGCCTCTGTTAAACATTCTGCTGTAGTGGTTGTTCTGTTGATGAGACTTTGCTGCCCAGAAAGTGAAGCAATAAGCTGTGCAGTTTTTTTTCTTTCTGAGTTCACTGCCAGGTGGATAACTTTCATTGAACTTTGGATGTGCAGTTTTGAAATGGCGCTCCAAGTTACTTCGTTTGAAGCCTGAGCAGGTTTGTTCACATATTAAGCAAAGAGGGTTTGTGCCGTGAAGAACAAATAAAAATCTGTCKGTCCWTTTCTCTTGAAACTTTCTGTGCTCATCTTCTATAGATCTTACCTTTCATTTTTTACTTGAAACACTGATGTGCTAGCGGCCCTTTCTCCAACATCTTCTTCCTGTGGATTTTTCTTCACTTCTTCAAATTCCCCATCCTCGCTGTTTCTGACATCGTTTTTTGTCCTTTTTTAATTAGAAATCGCTCCATTTTGCGCAACGTATATGACGTGCTACTAGCTAGCACGACAAGMTAGCTACCCGGTTAGCTTAATCACGGTTTCCCAAGTAATGCGCTCCCRCTCTGYAGTCATGCTGCGGCAKCRTCTTTTTAAAAACAATGCCTGCGTTGCCAGGTTCATCAGTAATCMCCCTTTTRAAACCAACTWTWTTTGGCTGATCTTTTTGTAACTGTCACAAGAGMYRCCAGYAAAGCAAGGCGAGCCGCATGTGGCTCGGGAGCAGCGCAATGAGTATCCCTGATTTTGATGAGAACAACATATCCAAAAAGAAGCTTAATAGAGTTCCCATGATTCCAGTCTGGCTTTATTTTTTTTTCTTTCACATCTATATCCTGTGATATGGACAGCACGGTACCACGGCAGAGATTTTGCTTCTCAACAAGAAGGTTGCCAGATYGAATCCTGGCCGGGGTCYTTTCTGGGTAGAGTTTGCATGTTCTCTCTGCGTGGGTTTTCTCTGGTTGCTCCGGTTTCCTCCCACAGACCAAAAACACGACTGTTAGGCTGATTGGTAACTYTAAATTGTCCTTAGGTGTGAGTGAGAGCTTGAATGGCTGTTTGTCTCGTTTGTCTCTAYGTGGTCCTGTGATGGACTTGCGACTCRTCTAGGGTGCATCCCRCCCCTCACACTGTGAGCGCTGGATTTGGGCACCAGTGACCCTGAAAGGAAGAAGCGGGTAAAAGATAATGGATGGATGGATTCTGTTCTAAAATATTGAAATCTTGTAATTATCACAAACATGAACATATGTGATCTTGTTTTTCTGATTCGAGGCACCAATGGGCAACACTGTAGATTTTAGAGCTGCTTCTGATTGTTTCCAGGGTGCCGCGGTGCTCAGGATGCTGTCAGAGTTTCTCACTGAGCCTGTCTTCGCCAAAGGAATCAGTGTGAGTATTAGAGGTCTTCAACCGCTGTCTGGCATGTTGTACCCGTTTTCCCTGCTTCAGCATACCTGAGACAAAAAAATTAACTGGCCTGTCATCAAGTTTAGCAGAAGCCTGTTAATCACTCATTTATTTCAGTCAGGTGTGTTGAAGCAGGGAAACATCTAAAACATGCGGGACAGTGGGTCACGAGGGACAAGGTTGAAGACTATAAGATCCCATCATCTGATTACTGCTGTCACTGTGTTTTAGATGTTTTACTGGTTTTTCTTCTCAATGGGTTTGACAATAACAGGTTTTCCTGCATCATTAGGATTTATTGTTTCTTTTTTGTATATTTTTAGATGTTGCTTATTTGTTTCTCTTTACAGTCATACCTCAACACATTTGCCTTTAACAACACAGTGTATGAAGACCTGTGGAACCATCTTCAAAAGGTCAGTCGAGCTACAAAACTGAGACTCTTAAGATGTGCTGACCCTCATTTCTCCTGGCACAGAGGATTTGTGGAACAACTGCTACCCTCCATTCTTTGTATTTTGTTTTTGACAGGTGGTAGATAAAACACCAGGACTGCATGTTCCATACTCTGTTCATGAGATCATGAACCGCTGGACTCTTCAGATGGGCTTCCCAGTGGTCACCATTGACACCCAAACAGGAACTGTCTCGCAGAAGCACTTCCTTTTGGACCCAAGCTCTGTGGTCGAAAGGCCATCTCCGTTCAAGTAGAAATCAGATTCATCTTATTTTTGYTAATGCCGTTTAATCGTGAGTGGAAAGTGTTACTGTAATTCTCATTTGTTTTGTTCAGTTATACATGGTTTATCCCAATTAAATGGATGAAAAACGGCCTGGATCAGCAACAGTATTGGCTTCTTAAAAAGACAGGTACCTTTACTGTAACACAAACAAACTGAACTCTGGAAGAGAAAATGCGTGACTTTCAGATTGTTGGAGTCGAGTACAAGTGATTGTTCTGAATAATGTACATCCTCTTAGATGTTCACAGTTCCATGAGAGTTTCAGGAGAGGGCTGGGTGCTGGCGAACACAAACGTATCCGGATACTTCAGGGTGAACTACGATGCCAACAACTGGGCTCGTCTTTTGTCTCTGCTCAACACCGACCACAAGGTCAGTGAGTTCACTGCCAGGTCCCAGTGGCCACCTGAGCACAAAGTATTTCAAGTCTCCAGCTCAAATGGCTGATTTCCCTCAAAAAGCTGCTCTCACTCATATGCATTTCTGTTTTTAGCAAAAAGCCTGAAAATCTCTTTAAAAGTAATGTTATTATAGAGCCATTTTATACGACTTTTAAAAATCCTGATTTTAACTTAATTTCAGCATCATCATTTTGTATTTTAATACTTTATATAGCAAAACATTCAGCTCCTTTTGGCTACGACTTTTAGTATTTCAGCATTTTTCCCTCAATAAAAATGAATGGAGCTGTCTTCAGCATCATTAAAACTTTTCAAAATCATCATAAATCAAATCTATTTAACTTGTATTCTGGTTCTGTTTTCTTTACAATTTTGAGCCAATTTCAGCATCCTCCAGCTTCACCTTCTTCATCTTCATTTTTTTTAATTTATTATTATTTTCTTTTTCTTTTTTTAGCAGTTTTCATTAATTTCAGCTATTTTCAACTCCTTTTAGCTTATTTTATGGGCTTCTTTTTACAACCCCTAATTTACACTTGAATTCAAGCGTTTTAAACTCTTTTCAACTTAATTCAACAGTTTTATTTTTTTCTGCTTTTTCTGATACTTTTTTGTTGATTTTTATTCTTATTTTATTTGCAGAATTGAGCTTCGTTAAGCTAAATTCACATTTTGGAGGTCGTTTATACTTTGTTTTGCCTAATTCAGCAAAAAAGCTCAGTTGGGTTATTTTCTGATAAATACAGGTTTTTAATCTACTTTTCAGCAATTTTAGCTAATTTTAGCTTTTTTCCCAGATAAATTTGCTTTTTTTGTGATATTTTCTGCTTGACTTCAAAGGCTTTCAGCAAAAAAAATAAATAAATAAAAACATTCATCATTAAGCATTCACAGTGCATTTTTGCAGGAAATACTAATTCTCTAGTTAAGGCCCTGTCACAATATAATGTTTTAGAAAAGCTTATGCCAATTTATGAAACTTTTTTTGACTAAATTATTAATAAGTTATATATTTGATAAATTTGTTAGCAAGGCTTCCAGTTGAATTCCATTGTCAATGTAGGTGTCTTCAAAATTTTCACAAGTTGTTCAAAATGTTATAATGTCACAGGGCCTTTAGGAATTTTTTTCTTGTGTTATTTTTCCCGTTTCTCTTACATACAAAACATAGTTTCTGAAAACTTAATTACTAAGACAGACAAATGGTTATGATAAGATGAAGTGTTTATTTTTGTATCACAGAGGCTATTGTTCTCTTTCAGGCCTTACCAGTCATGAACCGAGCACAGATCATAGACGATGCGTTCAATCTGGCGAGGTAAAAAATAAATTTCAACAATTTTATATAGTGTGTGTTTACAAAATATGCYAAATATTTGTTTCTTTGCATGCAGAGCACAAATAATCAGTACAACACTGGCTTTAAAAACAACCAAGTACTTGTCCAAAGAAAGAGATTACATCCCCTGGCAGTCAGCTCTGAAAAACCTCGGCTACTACATCCTTATGTTTGAGCGCACTGAGGTCTACGGACCTCTACAGGTCATTCTTAATGTCTGCTATCAACCAATACTTTTAGATGTACACTGTAGTTATTAAAAACATGTGCATGTTTCTGTTCTAGGCATACCTCAAAAAGCAAATCAAACCACTCTTTGAATACTTCAAGACGATAACATCTGACTGGACCAAAGTACCTGCTGGACACAGTGACCAGTAAGAATTAGTTTCAAACACATTTGTGTAGGTTTACTTTTTTAAACACACTTTTAAAAATCTTGTTTCTTGTTAGGTATAATCAGATCGATGCTATTGGGATAGCATGCGGTGTGGGTGTGGAGGGCTGCAGGGAACTGATCCAAGGCTGGTACAAACAGTGGATGGAAAAYCCAAATCAAAACCCGTGAGTTCAGAGAAAAAAAAAACCTTTTTGTCTTTTCAACTTCTATGTTTTTACAAAGATGACTAATTAAACTTGCATGGCATGCAAGACTTCACAAAGGGAGATGTGGGCCTCAAACTGCACCATCAACTGGTGAAGTCTGACTGTCCTCAAACAGTGTGTGGGTTTTTGTTTGGGTGGATAAAACGTAAAAAAGTTAAAAAAAAAAAGTAATTGGAGTATCTGTGGAACACAGCAGCCTTCTGGACAATGCAACATATTTAAAAACAGACTGTCTACATGTTTGATGCGTCAGCCAATGTTTTTATCATTATTTCCAATCTCCCCTTACCAGGATCCATCCCAACTTGAAAAGCACAGTTTACTGCAAGGCCATAGCCTTTGGTGGGGCAGAAGAGTGGGACTTCGCTTGGAGAATGTTTGAAAATGCGTCTCTGGCATCTGAAGCTTCCAAGCTTCGGTCAGCCATGGCATGCACCAAAATTCCTTGGCTCTTGAACAGGTCTGTGCAACATTCAGATCCAACAAATTCACAGCAGCAAAGTGGTTTGTTTTTCTGTTGAAGGCAATAAACGATCTGTGAAATTGATTTTTGAGACAGGTATCTAGAGTACACACTTGACCCAGCTAAGATCCGGAAGCAAGATGCCACTTCCACCATCCAGTACATTGCTGGAAATGTAATTGGGTTGCCACTGGCTTGGAACTTTGTCAGAGAAAGATGGAGTTACATCTCCCAACAGTAAGTGTTTTCTCTTTGCTCTTTTTTATCTTCAGGGGTTTTTTTTTTTTTTTAGAAAATATTTTTCTTAAGCTGATAAAAATAGCTGTATGAAAACAGATTTCCTGAAATGTTTTCTTTTACAATAAAGAAAAAAAACGTCTTCCTCTGCTCAGTTAGTATGGATTGATTTTAATTTTAGTTGATAAAGCAGATTAAAGGTTTGTGTAGGTCTGCTGTMACATTCCTGACAGACCGTTTAATGTTCTGTGAGCCCTGAACACATCCAGAAACATGAACACATGAAAACTGAGTCCAGGATGGGACCATGCGTTGTTTGCTAACCTACTGGATCCATGCTTTTTTCATTGTGATATAAACAAATCAAATACAAGTGATGTACAGTGTACAAAAAATACATAAGAGAAATAAAATACATACCGGTAAGTACTGGGTCCATGCTGCTCAGTCCATGTCATCTTTGGCCTGGCTGACTTAAGTCACAGTGACCTCGGCCCCTCCACCACAGAAAATAGCTGTTTATTTGGCACATTTGGCTGCATCTTGCTCTACCTCCTGTATGTTTCTCTGCTCTATTCATCTTTTCTCCTTAACGTGTTTGCTAACGTTGCCCGCTCACCTTTCTTTGTCTTTATTCTTTTTCAATTGGGGCCATTCACATTGGACATTTGATTGTTCCACGAGTTGTGAGCTTAAAAAAGAATCCAAAAATCTTATCGGTCGGTTCGGCCTGGAACTGACTGGCCATTTGGGAATCCTCCCTAATGTCCTTATGGCTGAGACGGATGGTACAGGTGATCAAACAGTCAATTCGAGTTAAAGAACGACTCCCCAAACCACTCTGCCACAGCTGCCCTAATGGAATTAATGAATCCAAGCATGCGCTGTTATTTAGATCAGAGGTGGGCAATCCTGGTCTTCGAGGGCTGCTATGCTCCAAGTTTTATGTTTCTCTGCTCCAACACACCTGATTTGAATGAATAGGTGATTATCAAGAAGGCTGAACTTGAGAAGGGAAGTCAATCACAAGGGTCCATTTTAGGACCTATGCTGTTTACTATCTACATCAACAATTTGGGCCWTGGTCAAACAAGCGCAGCTGTGCATTTTTATGCTGATGATTCAGTAATTTATCGTCACGCAAAATCAGTTSCCCTTGTTTTTGAGCACTTGCAGTCCTCTTTCGACAGTTTTCAGTCTCAACTATTACAACTTAGACTGTGTTATGGAAATATTTATTTAACAAAGACAGAAATACGTGGTCCAAGAATGAAGGTACTCCGTGGAATGATCAGCTGAGTTTTATTGCAACAACGGGAACACAGAGAACAACATCAGACTGTCCCCCTGCTCTCTGCTCCTGCTCTGTGCTYTTCCTATTCACTGAGACAGTTGAGGCCTCATATGTACTGTTTAACAAACACTGTTATGTCATTTTAATAAAGCAAGATTAAATACTAAGGAAATTCTAGGCCAAGGGAAAACACAAAGATAAAGTGATACCTAAGMATGACGGTTGTTAGCAAATCTTGTTCTGACTTTAATCATTCTGTCTGCTGATAAACAGCATGTCATGAAAACTTAGGTCATTAAAGGATGTCATGAATTACTGACAAACATAAAAGTATTAGTACCACCACAGACTGTTATTGAATGCAAATAAGACTAAGGGCATGTTATTTTCTAACAGGAAGAAGGTACCCACATTTCTCCCTTCTATCACTACCACACAGGGTGTGCCCGTAGATTTTATAAAACCTTATACATCTTGGCATCACCTTGGATGAAAAAATAACCTTTGACCTTTACATTGAAAACCTGCTTAAAAAACTCAAGTTAAAACTAGATTTCTTTTTGCAGCACAAGAGTTGTTTCTCAAAAATTGCTAGAAAAGATCTTGTTTCCGCCACTTTTATGAGTATTTTAGACTATGGGGATATTGTGTATATGAAAGCCTCTGCCAGCTCATTATGTCTGCTGGACGCTGTCTATCATGGAGCACTTAGATTTATCACAGGTAGAAAAGCCCTCACTCACCATTGTACCTTGTATTCTTTAGTCAAATGGCCCTCTCTACATACTCACAGACTCTCACTGGTACAACTTTCATTTATAAATCCATACTTTAGCTGGTTCCATCATACTTATCACATTATATTTCATGCAAAAAACACCACCACAGCCTTCATTCTCAGGAGTTTGTTACATTCAGTGTTGCTTCAGTGCGTACTCTTTCTCCTTTTCTGGCCCCTCCACCTGGAACAAGCTTCAGCAGGACCTGAAGCTCTCCAATTTGGTCACACTTGGGGAGTTTAAGATTTTAATAAACCGATTAGAATATTTGTTCTGTAGGCACCTGTACTTGTTGTCAATGAAAACCCTTTCTTTGATGATGTATGGCATTGATTTTTAGACGTGTTAAGTAAATTGTATTATTGTTGTTTTTATAATACTTTGTTGTGGTGGATGTAACAGGTCTCTCTTGTAAATGAGACAATAAGTCTCAAGAGATTTTCCTGTATAAATAATGGATAAATAAAAAAATAAAAATAAAAATCAACGAACGTTAAAGCAGAAGAACAAGTAATACATGCATGACAGCGGCCCTTTAGGCCCAGGATTGCCCACCCCTGATTTAGATGCTTGTTTTTAGCTGGTCTGGGGACCTCACACAGATCTAATACCTTTTATTTATCTATAAAACCTTTCTGTCCAATTTTTTTCTAAGGTACGGAAGAGGATTATTTGCATTTCATAACCTCGTCAACGGAATCACAATGAGATTTTCCACCGAGTTTGAGTTGCAGGAGGTATGCAGCCCACACAACCACAAAAACACTGAATCACACATTGGACTTTCCYGAGGCTATTTTTAAAAAATGGAAAGACAACATATTCATAAGCTAAACTTTTCTTTTTCCTCTTTCTCCAGTTGAAGGAATTCAAAGAACACCACCAYGCTGGCTTCGGCTCAGCCACTTTGGCAATGGAGCAGGCCATCGAAAAGACCACAGCAAACATAAAATGGGTGACAGAAAATAAAGCTGAGGTGCTTAAGTGGTTTACTGAGGAGACCACATGAGGTCCCAGAAACTGAAGATGATGTTTTGCTTTTGAACTCTTTGTAATGAATKACATGCAATGTGATGAACAAGAACAGCAAGATCTGTGGAAAACACTTTTCAAACAGCTGTGACCCAATGACAGAATCACTTTTAAAAAATGCATTTAACGTTCTGTTCCTGTCTTTTTGCTTTACTTTTTTTTGTATGCAACTCATGATGTACTATAAACTCCATGAGTCAGAGGTCTGAGGCAGCTGATTCCTTCGTCCGTGACTGTGATTCCCTGGAAGGTCTAAACCTGTGATTCTTCTTGTTATTAACTATAAGCCAATGAAAAACCACCATCATTTCATGTAAAATAATACTGGATTTGAAACTGATTCCCATTAAAGAGTTTGGTTGCTTTGGCACGTCTACACTGCAGAAACTGTCCACCTAACCAAGTTTTAAAATCTTATATCCAGCCAAAAAATCTTTTTGATCTTGTTTTGAGACCGATTTACTAAACAAGGACTGATTTTGTAAGAATAATAATCTTGTTTTCAGAATGTGTAAGATTATTTGTCTTGTTGGTCTGAAAATATGACTCAAATTAAGTCAAAAAATTTCTGCCAGTGGAGTAAGAAAAATCTACTTGGTAAGATTCTTGAAATACTTGATTTGACTCAATTTTTTCTTATTTCAAGAATCTTACCAARTAATTTTTTTTTACTCCATTGGCAGAAATTTGACTTAATTTGAGTCAAAATTTCAGGCTAACAAGACAAATAATCTTACACATTCTGAAAACAAGTTTATTATTCTTACACAATCAGTTCTTGTTTAGTAAATCAGTCACCAAAAAAAGATCAAAAAGACTTTTTGGCTGATATAAGATTTTAAAACTTGGTAAGATGGACAGTTTTTGCAGTGTATTTGTCTACAAATATTCAATAACTTCTTGTTTCTGTAGTAATTTCTACAAGTGATTTCAATCTCTTTAAGAAGATTTCTGTGTTTGAATGTGCAGCATGGTGCACGGTGTTGTTGCACAGATGTAATCAATTTGGTGGAGAACGAAACTGGCTGAAACACAATCGTTAAACCACGGATTGTCATTTTTCAACAGTTTAACTTCAGGAAAATGGCCAGCGTTCAATCAAAGACCTGAACTTGGAACCGATGTGTCAGCTGGCTGCAGGGGAAGCTTGGATTGGCAATCATCTGCTTCAAAATGAGGCATGGTTATTAGATTAAAAGTGATAACTCAACACTATAACATTTTGTTGTCCTTTGCGGTTTGCACAGAGATCAAGAGAATCACTATGATCCAGACTCACATATAAAAGCATTCAGTCCTCTCCACTGACTGGTTTCACCTTATCTTATATCATCAATCCGACTGATTTATAAAGTCGACGTTTGTTATGACTTGGCGCCATATAAATAAACTGAATTGAATTGAAGTCTTTTAAAGCTCCTCCAAGGGAACAAAGCGCTAATACAAAAAAGAAAAAACACTCAACAATACTGTATAACATGAAAAGAATAAAAACAAAGTGAAAAAATGGATGAAAACCATGAAAATCAATATCCTAAGATGTAGCAAAAACCCGGCCCCCTCTGAACTTACACCTGGTTCTGGGTCCATGGAGGAGCTGATCAGTACCTCTGACTGTGGGGGGCAAGACTAATAAAATAATATAATAATTAGTGGATTCTATAAAATGGATTTTAAAACTGCGTAGCGTGCTCGGKTAGTGTGATCAAATGTCCTTGTGTCAGCTAAAAACTTGCAGCGGGGACACTTCTGGAGGATTTCAACACAACTCTTTTTGAATCATCGCAATATGAGTCAAACCCTCCACTGCTAAATGTTAAAAAAATAATTAAAAAAAACAAGTGTGCGTTTTAAATCCACAACAGGAATAGGATGTTGGTTCAACTAAATGCACGTCATAGAAACTGACAACTGTTTTAGTCAGAACCGTCTGATTCACACATTTCATCGGAAAATATTTTTTCAGATGCATCATTTACCAAAGAAACTTCCCAGTTTTTTTTTAGCGAAAAGAGATGTTGTGACATAGCTCAAGACCTACAGTAATCTGACTAATACCTAACTTAATTATTAAAAAGTTGAGGAGAATTGACTACAATGAAAAGTTATCCAGATCACAATAGAGATTCCTCTATAGGGTTGATAAAAACAGATGTTTAAGGGTTGAGGAAAGTTAATCTGAGAGTATCATTTGGGACTCTGAGGTACAGCTTGACAAATATTTATACATTTGTATAATTGCAGAGACAGTTATCCAAATGTGTTAACTTTATAATGCTAGTTATAATTAGGCCCGAGCAGCTAAGCGCTGCGAAGGCCTATTGTTTTTGTACTGTTTATTATAGTTCTTGTGCCAAATGAATTGCCTTTTTGGGGGCTTTATCATATTCAAAAACTCACCAAACTTGGCGGGGCCATAGAGCCCGTGTATAATTTACGTATTTTAAGGTCCCCGGAAAAATCGCACAGGAAACGGCTCAAGGGCGCCACCTAGCAACTTTCAAGAGACCCTTTCCTATTCAYTTACTTTATCGTAGAGACTTGAAATTTGGTACACTTGTAGAGCTCCCCAAGACACTCTGAATTTACAATTAATGTCATAGTGCAAGTATCACAGATTGTCGGCCATTTTGGATTGAAGGTCCGATTTTGGACCGATTTTGGACGTTTACAGGCGTCGCATTTGATCGAACTCCTCCTAGGGATTTCGATCAATCGGCTTGAAACTCGGTCAGATCGTTCATAAGGCATGCCCRATCCAAAGTTATCAAAGGTTTGCGTTTTCGGGCTTGCTGAAGGGGTCTTTCTGGGGGTCAAAGTTCACCCATTCGCCATGAAACATCAAACTGTTATAACTCTTTGAAAAAAACTGATAGAGGCACCA